CAATCCAAAATTACCATGAAAGAAAAAACCAAAGAAAGTAAATTTATTTGGAAATAAAAATTTAAATTTTATTTAATTTAACGTTATTTTTTTATAAATAAATTCTGTTCGAAAAATAAAAATTTACCTTTCACAAATTTATTAATTAATAAGCTTAAAAAAAAATTTTCTTAATTAAATTGAACCGAATGAAAAACAATGTTAAAACAACAAAGTTTTCATTTTATTTGTAATAATCATTTGTGCGGGAAGAATGAAACGTGTTTGAGATATCGTTTATTCATAAAAAATATAAAAGAAATATATTATTAAATTTTCCAAAATTGTTGATATTTAATTTTTTATCATTTTCTGCATATATGAAATATGTCATATAAATTTTCAGAAAGTAAATGTTTTATTATTATGATAGAAAAAAAATATTGTTATTATAAAAAAAGCCAAAAATATTTATTTAAAATGGCCGAAAAGTATGAAAATAGTCAATGTCAATTTTTTTAATTATTTCCAATATTTAGATTGAGATATTTTTATTTAATTCCTGGAAATATAACGTTAATTAAGCAATTTGATTGAAGGATATTTCAAAAAAAAGGTGGATGTAAATTTTGAAAATTTTATTTAGGTTTTTATTTTGAACATATTTTGAACAATTGCATTAAATTCTGGATATTTTTCATTCCCATTAAAATATTTTAAAATAAAGGAATAAAAGTTCAGATGAAAAATGAAATTATAAGTTATTTTCATAAATTTTTTTAGTTCTTTTTTTTCATTGTCACGGAAATTTTTTTAGTCTTTTTAAATCTTTTCTTTTTAAATCAATAAACCTTTGATTTGAATTTAATTTTTTTCAACTGACTGTAAAATAATCATTCTTTAAAAAGAAATAAAAATAAGAAAATTTTTTTTTTATTAAATTTATCATTTTATTTTTCACTTTTTTTTTTTTTTTTTTTATAACAATTTTAATCTTTCATTTTAAATAAGAATATTATTTTCAAGATAGTTTTTTAAAGAAAAATTGATACAAGAATTTCATTTTTTCAAAAATCCATAATTTTTAATTTTAGGAAATTTTATAATTAATTATATCACCGATATTTGTTGTTTTACAATATATCGGCAAAATATTTATTTAATATATATATAATATATGTTAAACTTCTTTAATTCAAAACATATTTGGAGTATACAGGGTTTAGGGTTTTAAATATAATTGAATGCATCATTATATATATATAAATTTATAAGCAATTACTTTAAATGTTTCAATAATATATGACCCCTTTTTTGATAACCAAAATATAAAAATAAAAAGATTGCTTTACCAATTTAATTATAAATAGAACAATAATTTTAAAAAATGAAATTACAAATAGATTATTTGACATAACTTTGAGAATTTGCCAACTTAATTGAAATATGAATTTTTATGAATTATATTTTAGGTATAAAAATAAAAAATTCATAAAAAAATTAAATACATAGTTTATATATATGGATGATTGAAAAAAATTTCAACAAGACCCGACTTCAGTTCGGTAATTTTAAAAATTTAAAAGCATAAAATTTAAATTTATAGGATAAATTATATTATGTAAATATTGAAATCAAATTAAAATTTACCTTATAATTATAGCGTATTAACCACTTATTTTTTTAAAGAAAAAAATTTTTAAAATTGATTTCAAAATTTTAACCAATAATTCTAAGAATTATTTTAAATTGACCGTTTTTACAATGTTTTAATTTTTGAACAGATGATTCAAATAATATACCAAAAAAAAATATTTAAATTTCAAAAATTGATTAAAATAGTCCGAGAAAAAAAAACGTCATCAAAAGTTTTTTCAATAAAGCTATTTGATTTTCATGTTTTTAAAAATCAAAAAATTAACATAAGGTGAAAAAATACAATTTGAACTCTTTGAATAAATTTTTTTTGAAAAAGAATTTAAATAAAAATAAAGAAAATTTAACTAATTTTAACGAGAAAAAAGTTTGATATTAAACCTTGTTTTAAAGGTTTATTATTTATCAAATTGGTTTAAAAAACAAGAATTTTCAGATGTAATCTGCAAAATGTCAAAATTTAGAAATTTAAAATGAATTTAACAAAAGATGATATAAAGAATAGAAGACATATTTATAAATAGCAAAGATTGAGTTATTTATACATAGAGAAAAATTTTGTTATAATATTGAGACTTTATTCATTTTTTAAATTGAAATTTTTGTAAAGGATGATATTTTAAAAATGATTTTATTTCAATAGATGAAAAAGGTAAAAAAATAAATATATCAATTATCAGCTTGAATTAGTAGATAAAAATTTAGAATTGAGTTTAAAAACTGTTCATAAGTTCGGTGACTGGAAAAAAAAGATGAATTTGAATTACCATTTTCAACTGAATGAGGATTACGTTCATTTTATTTTAAAAATATATGTAAATAAAACATTTTGGAATCCCATAAATCTTGGGTGGCAACATTTTTTTAGCATGAAAATTGTCTTTTTACGCTGTATAAGGAAAAAATTTTTAAAGATCAAATTGACAGTTTACCAATTTTAAATCTTATAAATAGATTTGAAAATTTAAGATGGAAAATGATCGATAAAATATTCTTTTAAAAAAAAATAAAATCATAATTGTTTTCTTGAAAATTTTTTGATTGAACATTTATCCTGTCGCCAAATTTTTAAAATATTTGGACAGAATGTTCAAAATCTTTTTTGAATCTAGTTGGTCTTTTGCAGAATTTTTGTCATAAAACCTTGTTTGTTTTTGTTTGAACCTGAACTTCTTTTTTTTTTCAGTTTGCATTTTCCATATTTTTAATTGATTAGTTTTAATTTTTGAAACAAATTTTGAAACATTTTTTTTAAATAATTTAATTGATAAAAAGAAAATGTTGATAAAATTAAAATTCTTAAATTTTTTTTTTTTTGACAAAAAATAAAATTAAAACGATATTCTAAAAACATAATTTATTTATATAAAATGTTTACAAAAGATAAATAGAATTTAAAATAAGAAAATTTTTTGAATTTTATTTTAGTTCAAAATTAGAACAAATTTTTATTAAATGAGAAAAAATTTTTTTTAATTATTTTTTTTTAAATAATTTTTTTTTTAGTTACATAACTGAATATTTTGAAACAGATAAAAAAATGATCAAAAAATAATTTAAAATGAACTTTAATATTTCATTTTAAGACAACATTGTTTTAAATAAATCCACTTCAAAAGAAAAAATTTAAAAAGAAACCAAAAGAAAATAGGACTGCTTAATTTAATTCATTTAAAAAATTTTGATATGGAAAATTTCTTGATCTGTTTACATTTGATAAAATGTAAACGGAAAGGAAAATTTTTCAATAAAATTGAGGAATTCAGTGAATTAAGAAAAATAAAATTTTATTGTCTGATTAAATCTCAGATTCATTCAGTTTTTGATCGTACTTTTCAAAAAATTTTCAACCGGTGGGCAAGACTGATTTTGAAAGTTTTTAATTTATTAATCTTAACAATTTTATTTCATTTTCTTTTTAAGAAATTCATTTTAAAATTTCTTTAGATGAACTCTATTTATTCAATGTTTCGTCTGATATAAAAAGTTTTCACGGATTTGTTTTTATTTTTTTTTTTCTTAAAATTTGACCAAATTGTGAAAAACCTGCTTCAATACGTTCTCCCAAAAAATTATTTTAATATATTATTTTAATTTTTTCATTGAAAATTGTTGTTAATTTTTTTATTCAACTTTTAATTAAGAAAAAACAGCCTGATGTTAAAAGCATTATAATTATTGTTTATTTTTTTTTTTTTTTTTTATTGTAAAATGTATCTAATTTGTATTTAGAATTTTCAATTTTTTAATTGTTTTGGTCAATATATTGCTTTTTATAGAATATAAAATATTTTTAGATTCAAGCTTTTTTTTTTTTTTTTTTTTTTAAATTAAAACTGTTTGGTAAAAAAAAAACTTACATTTTTTCATCTCTTATTTAGAGACAATGGCTGGGATTTTATGCCTGTGAGATTTTGGATTGGTATGTGGACAACCCTGCTATTACTCATCATTGTTGCATTCGACCTCAGTTCTTTAGTCAAATATATCACTCGTTTTAAGTGATATCTTTGCCTGCCTTATGAAGAATAAAATTTAGGTTTAGAAAAATTTAAAAACTTTTCCACATTAAAACTATTGTTATCCCTTATGAAAAAGAGGGGAACTTTATTTCCAAAAACTGCTCCTGCAATTTTTTGAGAATTTTGAAATTTTTTTTTCTTTAATGAAACTGCATGCAAACTGATGAATGGAACTGATCTCCATTTTAAAACTTTTGAATACAATTTATAATTTTTTTTCTACAGTATCTTGCTTTTCCTAAATTAACTTTTAAAATTTCAACTTTTGAAAATGTTCAGAAATGGTTAAACTTCCCAACAATTGTAAGTAACAGAGTTGTGCAAGTGTATAATATATAAATTATTTTTTTTTTTTTTTTTATACTGTAAAATGTCTAATTTGTATTTAGAAACATTGTATTTATTTTCAATTTTTCTAAATGATTTGGTCATCTATATTGCATATGATCCATTATTGTATATAATTAGGTTACAATAAAATTTGTATTTTATATGAATACTACGTTATGGAAATTGGGATGTAGTAGTTGGGGTGGGGGGCATAAGACGTGTGTGTGTATTATAAAAAAACATTTCAAGTTTTAGATTGAATGAAAAATAGTTTTCTTGGAAATTACTTTTTGAGTAACAAAAAAATTGAGCAGATGTGGATTTTCTACTTCTTTATGAGGGAATATACATTCTTCAGAAGGAGCAATTGAATCTTGCTGGGTTGGGACACGCTCTGCATGGTTGAGTGGTCCAATGATTGTCAGATCAGATGGTGGTTTCTCCTACAAAGGGGGACCTGGGTTCTCAAATGTGCTGGTAGATGTCTTTGATTTTCTTTTTCTTATGGCTTACAGCTATATCACATTGCAACACTACTTCTCATCCAATCACTGAAGTTAAGCAACATTGAACCTGGTCAGTACCTAGGTGGGTGATCACTCATAAATACCAGGTGCTGTAAGCTTGGATGTGCAAGTGGTGTAATGGATAATGGCTTGGAATGAGAGCAGAATTGAGATTCTAATTGGTTTGTTATATTCACTTACATGCAAATATGCCTCTTTTCCTCCCAGCTATGGTTTAAATACTAAGATATTTATTAGAAAATCATCTCCAAAAAACTCTTACAATTCAAAAATATTTTGGCTTTAAATAACCTTAAAAAGGTTGATGATCCATAAAAGAACAAATAAATTTTTTTCCTTCAAAATCTTTAATAAATGTTTTTTCTTTTTCCCAGGTGAGACAAACAGTCAGTGATTTCTCAGTGTTCATTGCAATTATTGTAATGTCTGCTATTGATTCTTCAGTTGGCTTAGACACACCAAAACTTGTTGTCCCTTCAGAGTTCCAACCAACAGATCCAACCAAGAGAGGTTGGGTAATTAACCCTATCAGCAGTAAAAACCCCTGGTGGTTATATATAGCTGCAGTACTTCCAGCTCTGTTGGCGGCCATTTTAATTTTTCTTGATCAACAAATCACTAGTGTTATCGTCAATCGCCGAGAAAACAAATTGAAGGTAATTATTTAATAATTTCATTGACTTGGTAAATGTGTCAGCATTATTCTTGTAAAATCTTACAAAATTCTCCTCTCGGAGGAAAATAACTAATATTAAAACAGTAGATCTTACACAGGAGCAAATATAGGAAAATAGTGTCCGTACACTTGTGCATTGAAAATAAAACCCTGAATTCTATTGATTTCAAGCTAATTATAAATTATCTGCAAAGAAAATAATTTTTGATTAATAACTGATATTTCATTCTCTATAGTTTTCACCTGTATGATGTCAAAATTATTTATTATCTGTCTATATTTCTGAGGTGAGGTATTATGTACACTTTATTCATTGTTCGGACTATTGTCCTCATCTTTGTTGCCATATTTATCACAGCGTTTTGGCCATTGCTAATCTCAATTTTATTCTTCAGGTGGTTGGAATGTCGAACTGAATTTATTTCGCTCGCTACTGGAGTAGACTGTTCTAGTTCCACAGCCAAAATGTCTAATGGAGTTTAGTTATCTCTTGTTAATTCCCCTCTCCAAGTTCTCCACTGCCTTAATCAGGTATTGAACTCACAACTCTTTGGGTCCTGTCACTGGATCTGACTAATGTCTTTATCCACAGTGCCATGTGTCCTTGAAGTATTTGTGATTTTTTAAGGTAAATCATTCAAAAGTTTATTGATTTTAATCTTTGCTTTACAGCATTTTTATGTTTAAACTATGATTTTGTTGCAGTTTCAATTAATAGAACAAAATGATGAAATTTTCATACTTGCCAATTCATGCTCCAGAGAAGTCGCAAATACTAATCTAGGGTAGTAATGTTTCAATTGCTTTCTTTGTTACCAATTATTGGTTGTTCAACTTTACTTTTTTTTCTTTTTTTTTTTCTTTTCTCTTTTTCTGCCACTCTTCCAAATTACTTGTCTGCTCAGCATTAACAAAAAGACACTAATGAATTCTGTTTACTTATATTGGCATTTTTGCTACCCATAATGTACTGGTCCTCACTTTTGACTGGTTCTTTCTTTGCCAAGATGCTTGCTAAGTAACATTGTTTAGGATTATAAAAGGATGGGACAATAAACTTTGCTGCAGAATATAGTAGCAAAAATGGGACTTCCTCGATTTCTATTTCTGTGCAGGCCATTTTTTAAAATTTCAGCCAACCATGTGCCACACACACACACACTTTCTAATAACCTGTTTTTCTGCCATTTTCAGCTATCTACATGTATCTAAAAATATTTCCTAATATCTTGAATCCTTATTCCTTTATATAAAAAATTAAAATTCATAAAAATTCTATATTGAAAAAAGAAACTGTTGGGATTTTTTGGTGGTTACATTTACTAAAAATACAACAGTAAAAAAATGTGATTACAAATTTTATATTTGACAAATATACAATTTGTAAATCTTCAGTAAATTATAAATGTTATATGGCTTTCACTGATCACTGGAATTCTAATGCTACGATTTTGAACCTAAACTTAATCTTTAAATTCAACCTCCTCAAAAAATGGTAACAATTTAAAAAAAAAAAAAAAAAAAATTGTCAAATCCCAAGTTTCAAATCGAGTGCAATACCATGGTTCAAAAATCGACCTACCCTAATGTACCATACTGTAGCTAGGCCACTGATTTAGTAGGCTATATACATATAATTTCTATACAATGATACAGGTTCTTTGCATGTTTATTTCATATTTAGATGAACTTTTAATTTTGCAGAAAGGAGGAGGTTACCATCTTGACATGCTGATTGTAGCCATTTTGGTAGCAATTTGTTCTGTATTTGGTCTGCCATGGTATGTAGCTGCGACTGTCTCAGCTCTTGCCCACATCATGAGTTTAAAGAAAGAATCCAAATGCAATGCCCCAGGAGAACGGCCAACTTTCTTAGGAGTGAGGTAAGATTTTAGCTAGAGTTTCATTTACCATGCATACTGCAAGGTGACCATAGTTTTGCAGAAAATAAATATGTAGCTGCTCTAATTTTTGGTCTTGGTAAGGATTTTGCATTTATTGTCCTTTGGACAAGGGCTCTATCAGTCTATAATGATTGCTATTGGATTTGTACATGCAGATCAGGTTTAATTAGTTGATTTCAGGATAGAAAACTAATAGGTAGGTTTACAGGATAGAAATGTTCTAGATGTTTACAGGGTGTATGTACAAAAGGGAAACCTATGCCAATGCATTTCAGTCCTTGAACTTTATAAGGGCAAGTATAGAAAGTTCTTCAGGGAATGAAGCACATTGGCATAAAATGGTTTTATCTTTTTATTTATATTGTCTTTACAGATACAAATATATCTGAATTTTTTTTTTTTTTTATATATATATATATATATATATATATATACACACACACAGGTTTAGCTAACAAAGTGAAATCACACCAGAGAGGTCAGGTGCAAACTCCTGTGAATGCAACCCTACCAGGTTATTTTTGTTTTTGTGAGTTTTGTGACAAGATTTGTAAGTCTGTTGTGGGACAATTAAGTTAAAAAAATTTTTTTACCACATATAAGGAAGTTGTAAAAATAAATGGCCTTAAAATATTTTTTTTTTCGCGTGTATCACTTTAAAATTCTGAATGAAAAGCACAAAAGAGCTATCAAGGGAAGAGATGGTGGTCTTCTGCAAATAAGTGATAATTTTATATATATATATATAATACACACACACAATCTCCTGATGATCATAAGCATGAAATACTGTTGCATTCACTGTTGAAACCTGTGTCCCCACTGCTTATGTTTGCATACATGTGTTGCCCTTAATATTCAGTAGCTTTTCTTCCATAAATATGGTTTATTTTAAGAACTTCATATAAAGTTTCTTATTATTCTAAACATATTTTTTATGTTTTGTTTACAACAACTGATTGTCTATCCAATGTAATTGATGTCTACTGAGGCAATTAAAGAATCTATATAAATAAAGCACAGTGTACATGACTGTTCATCTGTTTTTTGATCTTAAAATGAGAATCATAAGCAACCTGAAGTAACAGGTAGTAAGTATTGTCGTTACAGGTGATTAAAAATGAAATAACTCCTTTAAAGTTTAATTTAAATAAATAGTTCTTTATTAAAGGTTTGTCTTTTTCCTTTTTCATCACAATTGCAATTGATGTTGTCTAATTAAAGTGTAATTAAAACTTAAGCAGGTCATGGTACGCTGCTCATTTTATTTTTTTTTTTCTAGCATGCGTACTATGATGTATTTGAAATATTATATAGTTTGGGTTCCCTGATGTCTTTTAAAAGTGACATTGTGACAGGATAATAAGAATGGCGATTTAGAAAATAAAAAAAATTTTATAAAAATAAATGTAAACAAACTATGATTGGTTGCAAATACAAAAAAATTATGCCAAATTAAAATGTTGAATAAGATAAAATAATTTTATTTTAAGTTCTAAATTTTATATATGACTTTGATGCAAGTTTATACTGAAAGGACCCAAGTTCCCTCTGTGGGTGACTTGCTGACCTAAAGTCCACATTGCTTTTCTAGGCTAGTTCATAATAATAATCAAGTTTATAAATTTATACCAAGTCATTTTGTTTAACATAGTTGGGAAATATTTCTTATCTTTTCTAGAGAACAGAGAGTTACAGGAACACTTGTTGGTATTTTAAGTGGTGTATCTGTCCTTCTGACATCAATTCTTCAGGTAAGAGTAAAAATATTGAAATTTTTATTTTTTATTTTTAAAAACTAATTTATATAGAAAATCATTTTAAAAATTTCCTTGAACATTAAATTTCAGATTAAAATTTTAAACTTATTAATATTAACCACACACACATTATATAATTTATAGTCATTTATATATATATATATATATATAAATATTCTTATTAATTAAAATTTATTAGTCAATTCATTATATTCAAATATGTGTACCGACCCACAGTGATTCAAGTGAAAATGTTTTTTAATAAAATCTTAAAATGTTGAAAACTAAATAGACCCATTTTCTTTTAAAAGGATCCATGGAAAACCAATCCATCCAAGAAGCCATAAAAATAATTTTGTTACTTTGTCGCATTATAGAAATGATCAGGCAGACAATTTTTTGGCAGATAGAACTTTGAGAGAACCCCCTATTTAAATGCGAACCAAATTTAAGTTGCTAGGATACACATTGTTTTATTTTTTGAATGAATATTGGGTACTCCCAAACTTGGATATCAACTTCATCGGATAATGTTCAAGCTCTTCATTTCATAAAGTGGCAATTTTAACATTTGTGCTAGTGATTGTGAAATAACTCCCTTTACACACTCCTTTCAAATTTGGATGTGCTGAGGAGTAAGATGGAATGGAATTTGTTAGCCTCTTTATATTTTCTTGACAATTATAAAAATCTTGCCTTCCTGAAGATTGATTGGCAAGTTTTTAAATGGAAATAAATTTGTGAATTATCAAAGTTTTAATTTTTTGGATCAATGAAAAATGTATTTTTTAGAAATTAGCTGTTGAGTGAAAAGAAGAAAGAATAATAGCAAATACTGTAAAAATTCCTTTTGATATAAAATGAGAAAAATAAATTTCTTAATAAAAGACTACATTGTCCTTTGGGTCATGTGAAAGGTTTAATTTATGTTCACTGTTTGGTGTAAAATTATTTGCTAATTATTGGCTTTTAACCAAGCATGCAGCAAGGAATTTTCTCTCAACAATTCAAAAAAGGTAATTATTTCAAACTATCTCTCTTCATCTAATTTTAAATGTATGCAACTGTATATCCTGTCTGTGAGCAATAAATGCTCTTACTTTTAAACATTTTTTAAATATTATTTTGTGTTGGATCATTTGATCTGTTGTATAAACATTTCCTCTTCTTGACAATTCATTAAATCTAAAGAAAGGAAAAAATTTCTTTTATGAAAATGAAATGAGCTGATGACAAAATTTCAATATTTGTAAATATGTAAATAAATTTTTATGTTGTTTTGTTAAAATTACTTGTGTTTTCTTTATCATTCTCCATTAATCTTCTTGGTTATATAGGTAATTCAACTGTTCATTTAGCCCCTCAAAATGTTGCCATAGATCTTTTACCTCAGTTGCCTTCCTTTTTTGTAGACTTTTTTTATCAGCGGTGGAGATAATAAGAACATGATATTCCCTCTTAAAAAATAAATTTTAAATTATAGTCCAATTAAGATTAATTCTATAAATTTAAAAAAAATTGTTTTAAAACTTTGGCAACTCTCCTCCCTACTTCCAGCTTATTTTAATTATGAAATCAAATATAAAATAATTCATCAAATATCCACAATCTCCTCACAGATAAAGAAGAGACTTGAAGCAACAGAAATGTGGTTTTACAGAAGGATACTGAGAATACCATGGACTGAACATCTGAGAAATGACATGGTTTCACGGAAAATAGAAACGAAAAGGAAATTTATACATAGCATCAGGAAGAGAAAGCTGAAATTTCTGGGATATATGAGGAAGAAGGGCTTGGAAAATCTGATACTCACAGGACAGATTGAGGGGCAAAGGAAAACATAACATACTTGATGAACTTGAATAAATGGACGGTTAAATAGGGTTTAGAGTTTTCCAGTGCTAAAAAGGACAGGAAATTGTGAAACCATGATCAGTAATTGTTAGGGGCATGGTACAAATTTCTAGGTATCGACCAATGTACAGAAACTGCTTGAAGCTATCATTTTTCCAGCATTTTGGAAAGTTTATATTGAAGTCAATTGTAAGATCAATAAAAGCTTCCTTGAACACGAGTTATTAAATTTGAGGAATAAGGATTTCAATGTATAATGATTGAACTATAATTAGCCATGACTTATTTAAATGCATTGATAAAGACTGTAGAAAAATATTTGTGGTGGAGAACTTTTTTGTTATTTTGTACATTATGAAATAGAGCAAATTGTTTCTCTTTTGCCTTCTAATTATCTTTTTATACTTTCAGATTATTCCTATGCCAGTTCTATATGGTGTGTTCCTTTACATGGGAATTGTAGCTCTTTCTAGTATGCAGGTGAATATATTTTTTAACTATATTTATAAATTAATGTCATCTTGGGGTTTCTGGTAATTTTAATTTCTTGTAAAGAATCTAACAAAAATCCAATTCTTTTGTAATCGTATGGAAAACTGACCATTAGATTAGGGGTCATCACTTGAAGTTGAGGTATTGTGTATTGATGAACAAAAACTGTTGAATTGGTTGAGAAGATAGTCAAACAAGCAAATATGGGATAGGAATTTTTATTTGATTAGGGATATTTTCATGTCCAGAAAAATTTGTGAATAATTCCTGAAAGTTTGAATTCAAAGAATATTCTTAAGAGTACCCTTTTTTTTTTTCTTTTTTTTTTTTTAAAAAGTTGAACTTGCTCTTTAATTTATCAATGAAGCATATTTTGTATTGTCCACACCATATGCATGTTGTGGTGGTAATTTAGCCCTTCTATCTCGATATTAAAATGAAATAAGCTTGCATGCACCAGTTGTTAAACAACAAAAAAAGTTGAAAATTGGTTGCTGCTGCTGATAGTTATCAACATGTGCATGCCCAGCAAAAAGTTTTACAAATGTAAAATAAAAAGCAATCAAATTTAAATGTCTGATAAACTAACAATGGGACAGGATAAAGATATTTTTGGTATTTGTCAAGATGATATTTCTGTGAATCATGTCCTTGTCATCTTTATTCATTTAGAATAGTAGAAGTACCTGGCCTTGCCTGTGTCACTCTAAATATTGAAAATAAATACAAGGGTTCACAATAGCTTGTATCTTTTTTTTTTTAAAGCAGCCAATACAAAAAAATAACATCTTTACATTTATCAGAAGAGTTTATTTTTGTTTAAATAGCCAAACTGACAATAACAAGAATTAGACTTCCATATACAGATTACAAAAATAGGATCACAATACCTTGGAAAAATAAAAGAAAAAAAGAAAATAATTTGGGATGTTTCCAAACAACTGTTTGAACATAAATTTAGTTGGACTGGAAAATAAACATTAACAAGAGATAGTGTTAAGTTAAAAATTTAAATGCATATTTTAGTTGCACACATATAAGCACAGTCAAAGGAAGGGTGTATGAAAGTGGAGATTCCTGTGATCAATTGTTTACTGTTAAGTACATCCTAATAGACGGCAAAGAATAGAAAATGTTAAAGGCGGTAATGATGTAAGGAAATCTTACCATGTTTTTCAAAAATGTATCTGTTTCTCAAATACTAGTAGGCTGCTTCCAATACTTACAGAAAAAAGCACAATACATCTTATCTATAAACTTTATATATATATATATATATATATATATATATATATATATGAAAATATATAGAAAATAGGAAGAACTGGTTTTTAAATAATCCAAAGTTCCTTAGTAAAAATTATTATTTTTAAAAATAGTGCTCAAATATAAAAGTAGAGCATAAATATAATTAAATGCTGCATTAAATCTGTGGTATACCAATGTACTATATCATCCACGGACCATCCTAGCACTAATATATACATTAAAAACGAAAATAATTTTTGATAAAGATACACACACACAACATAAAGTGCTCTTTCAATAATATAAACAAAAGAAATCAGACTTCCCTATCTAAATATTTTGGCATCTGAAGGAAATTAATAGGACACCTAAAGTAAAATGGAAAATTATAAACAGGGCTAGAACATGTAAAACTTGGGATGACCCATGCCTATTTTGTGCCTCCATGAGAAATTGCACATTATTAACTTTAAATAATAATAATTTATCTATTAAAAAAATAACATGAGTTAACGGTTTTTTGTCGACATCATCAAATTCATGGTTTGAATAATTAGCTAAAAACAAGCATACAATATAATAATTTTTAATCCATAGCCCAAATAAATAGTTTAAATACCTAAAAAAAGATAACCCTTTATGATTTATTTAAAAAATAAATTAAACGACAGTTTTTATATACTTACAAATCCCTTTCAAAAAAATAAACTTTTCATAAAAAATAAAATAAAATAAAAAATCTCCATAGACATGCAAACCAGACAAGGGTTAAAACATCTTCCGTTTCAAATTTAGACAACCTTTCCCTGACTTGACATCTACGAAAAAAATACTGATACTTATTATTAACACCCAACACCGCCTACCCAATTTAAACAATTCGCCCTAGCTGTTACCATGGAAATTTTGATTTCAATTTTAAAACACGTAAATTTCAGAAACACGTTATTCAAAAAAAATTCATTTGAAAGATGGAATGATATATTTAACTATATTTAATATAAATAATTATATTGAAGTTTTTCGGCTCTTGTTTTTTGAAACAGAGACCTTAAATGAAGTTGGAATATTTTTAAAAATATATTATATATATATATATATATTATATATATATATATATATATATATATTTGGATTTCTGCATTTTGTTTGTGTTAAACTATAAATGACAAAATATTTGGATTTCTGCAAGTGGTTGTGTAGCACTTTGAACAAAATCAACCATCCATTTCAGCATTAATTACCCCTATAGTAGTTGATATGCTGGTAAAATAACCAATCAATCCCGTAGAGTTTGAATTTAGTATCTTGTTGATAACCAGTTTGTGCTAAGAATTTTTATTTGAATGACTTTAAAATTTTAAATATTGCATGGTCCGCATTTCATTTGAAGATCTTGAAATCTTTTTTAATTTCAGATAATAAACATTTCTTTGTAAGCAAATATATTTTCTCTATTCCTATAATTACCTGGTATTACTGAAATTGGCCTATTAACTTTTTGCCTGTGTGAGGTGAAAGATAAGGATTCATTTTACAACATTTTATCCTTTATTTTGTATTTTTTTTTGTTTATTGTCAGATTTGTTTGAATCTTTTCAATTTATCAACAATTCTTTTCATAAGGAGAGACTGAAAAGCTGGCTGCTCTAGACTATTTATATCCACCATTTGTCTTTTACGACGTGTCTTTGCTTGTTCATGCTAAACTACTACATGTTACTTCCAAGAAATGAAAATAAATTCTATTTAAAGATTCTTTTGTTGCAAGAAAAAACAAACTATTAATTGAAATATCATAATTTTCTGGCAGGTTGGGAGAATGAAATTCCTTTGTCCATGTTGCTAACAGTTTGACTACTGGCAAATTTTGCTATATTTTTTCTCTTAGAAATGTTTACACAGATCCCTAGAATTTGTGTACTTTATGTAGTCCTGGGTAAGGAGAGAGAGAAAAAAAAAGTTTCTTTTCTGCAGCTTGAACAGAAATAGGTTTTGACCCTAAATTGACCTGTGGCAACCTCTAGTAACTTTAGAGATCAAAGCCATCTATTGCTGTTAATTTGATTGGATGGCTATAAGATGTATTCAGCCAAACATTAGATTCACAATTAAGATATTTTTCTACCAATACAAATCCTGATGCAATTTTATTTTAAACTTTATTTTGACTGATTAAGATTTGCAAAAAAAAAAAAAAATGATGTGCTTGTAATCTGTAAATCAATCCACCTTTTTAGGGAGTAAAAAGGAGTGAAATAAAAAAAATGGAATGGTAGAGAAGGACTGAAAAGAAATACATATGTAAATTTTTACTAGATTTCTTTATCATTTCACGAAATGTAATGAATACCCCCCCACGTTTCATGCTTGTTTCCTTTTTGCCTACAATCCTTCTTTCCCACCCCCTTGGAACTAATTATTAAAGAGGCAGAGATTTCCTCCCCATTCTTTGACTATGCATCAGACTTCCTCATTTGACTTAATAAATCCCCCTCCTTGCATTTTCTGTTTTTCATTTTCCCCTTCCATAGACATTTGTTGTGATGCGGTGGGAGGTGGGGGATCTGGTAACTATTTACTTGTCTTAGTAGCAAGTTTGAAAAAGCAAAACTGGCAACTGCTTTCAAAAAGGACCTCCAATCAGTGGTTTACTGGGGGCAAGAAATGGTTTGTAAAATCTAATGTCTTCAAAGTAAAACTGCTTTCATTTAATCACCATAGCAAACCTTTTCTACCTGCCATCAGCATGGCTGATGCTAACATGCAGAGACGAACTTTTCACGCTTTCTTTATTTCATATTTTCCAGACAAAAAGTAGAGTATATTGAATTAATTGTTAGGCCTTTCTCTTCTATGTTGTAAGTGCCATCATGGCTCTGTTCAATGTCCTGTACAGTCTGTTGTAAGTGCCATCATGGCTCTGTTCAATGTCCTGTACAGTCTGTTGTGAAAGTGCCATCATGGCTCATTCAATGTCCTGTACAGTCTGTTTGTATGTGGCTCTGTTCTCTGTTCAGTCTGTCCTAAAGATACCATCATTGGCTCTGTTCAATGTCCTGTACACAGTCTGAGGTACCATCATGGCTCTGTTCAATGTCCTGTACAGTCTGTTGTAAGTGCCATCATGGCTCTGTTCAATGTCCTGTACAGTCTGTTATGGGAACCATCATGGCTCTGTTCAATGTCCTGTACAGTCTGTTGTAAGTGCCATCATGGCTCTGTTCAATGTCCTGTACAGTCTGTTGTAAGTGCCATCATGGCTCTGTTCAATGTCCTGTACAGTCTGTTGTAAGTGCCATCATGGCTCTGTTCAATGTCCTGTACAGTCTGTTGTAAAGATGCCATCGCTGGCTCTGTTCAATGTCCTGTACAGTCTGTTGTAAGTGCCATCATGGCTCTGTTCAATGTCCTGTACAGTCCTTTGTAGCTCTTAATAAATTCTTTTTGTTAGCTCTCCTAAACAGTGTTTGACATCCATTTATTGTAGCTTGCTTGGTAGATTATGCAGTTTTCTTTTCTCTATTACCTTCAATATGTCCTGTGAGTATCAAATTTTTCAATCCCCGTTTCCTCATTATGTACTCTAGAAATTTTAATTGCCCCTTCCTGATATTAAGTATAAGTTTCCTTTTTGTTTCCATTTTTCTCAAAAACTTTGTTACCCATACCCACATGTTCAGTTCATGGTAATGTCAACATTCTTCTGTAGAACCAGATTTCTGTTACTTCAAATCTTCTGTGAGGAGATTGTCTAGCATTCACTGCTATATAGGACTTTTTCTTTGTTTCTAATAAAACTTTCCTATTTCTTAATACTTTGCTTAGCTTTATGTAAGGCATCTTTCATTATCCCAAATGCACCTTTGGATTTCAGTGCTGCACATTTGTCCCCTAGTAAAACAGTTCCCAGATGTTTAAATTGTTGTACTTGTTTGATTTTGTTATCTCCAATTTGTAATTTGCATACTGGGCTGTTCCTTTTGCTAACAACCATGTATTCTATTTTTTTTTTTTTTTTCAATTGATGTTTAGTCCTTTTGTTTTACTTTCTTTTACTACCTCCTGTAAGGGACCTTATAGTTTTCTTTCTGTATTTGCTATCAATACTCTGTCACTTTCATATCTTACATTAAGATTGTAGTTGTCAAGAATGAATCCTACTTCTTTCAGAATAGCCTCACTGTACAGGTTGAATAAATCCTGTGTGTAGACACATGCTTGTCTTACACCCCTTTCTGTTTTAGTATCTTTACTGAATTCATTTTCTCTGCATGCAAGTGGTTTGCTCTCTGGTATAGTTTCTAGATTATTGTAATATCCTTCTGAAATATGTCAAGGTTACTTCACAGTTCCAACAGTTACTTGTGATGTACCTTATATCCATTCGCATAACCTATAAAACACACTTCTGCATTTGTATTACATTTTCTGATATCATTCTGAGCATAAGTATCACTTTCCTTGTTTCAATGTCTTTAGCAAATGCCCACTACTCTTGTCCTAATTTCAGTCTAATTCTTCTGTGTGCTTTATTCTTTACAATTTGGATAACTTTTGTTATATGGCTTGTTAGGCTGATTGTCTAATGGTGTTCATTTATTTGCACTTGGCTTCTTAGGCAGTGCTATAAAA